TGAAAATGGCTGAAAACCAGGCTGGAAATGGCCAAAACCCCTCTAAAACCAGGCTGGTCGACCAGCTAAAACCAGCCAACCAGTCTAGGCTGGTTTAAGCTGTTTTGTTCAGTAGGGATCCAGTTCTTCTTGTCCGCTCTGCGACACACTATATTTCAAATATCTATTAGGCAGTGAATATCACTTATTTTTAAGGAAAACAGATCTTAAACATGCCGATTTTGTAATGGAAACATAGTTCACCAGAAGCCGTCGGTCTGAAAAAAAATTATTCAAAGTTGATTCCTTGAATTTACTCAATTTTTTTATGTTTAGTGGTTGTAAACTATTTAACTGTGTTGAATTTAAACAAACAAATTAAGTTGAACATTATTCAATTTAATTTGTTTGTTTAAATTCAACACAAATAAACTGCACTGAAAAAAAATATTCAAAGATGATTCCTTGGATTTACTTAATCTTTTTTTTTACGTTAAGTGGTTGCAAACAATGTATTTGGGCTGAATTTAAACAAACAAATTAAGTTGAACATTATTAAACTTAATTTGTTTGTTTAAATTCAACACAAATAAACTGTTTGCAACAGTTCTGCACACAACACTTTTTCGTGTCCATATATATCCCATTTTGCTATTTGTTTCCCTGCATTTGACCCTTAGTTTGTATTCAGATACCCGCATTCTTATTAGTTCTTTTTTTCCTCTTTCCCTTTTATATGCACACAGAATCAAAAGAAAGTGCTGCTGTCTGTCCCTTTCTAGTGTTATTTTTAATTAGTTCCTCTTCTGTCATCAAGATTATAAAGTTCACAGAACTATATAACGTCTGAGAGAGAGAGGGAGAGCACTATGGAAATTCTCAGTTGCTTTCGATGTAAGATAATTATTGTTGTGTTTGAGTAAAAACTAAATTTTTGTTAATTTTTAAATATTTTATTTTCTTGTTTGTTGACTATTAGGGTAAATAAAAATAAGGGTTATTAATAATGGGGTGTATGCCGAAGCATGCTAATAGGACTTTTAATTTGCCAGTAACCTGGGTTAAGCGCTTCCGGCGAATTGAATGCCAATGCAAAATCCGGTGCGTTTAAGGTCTGTTTTCTTTAAAAATCAGCGATCTCCACTAGCTGAGTGATATCCGATTTAAAGTGGGTCTCAGATTGTACAAGAAGCACTGCAATAAATTACATTTCCCCCGCCATATCTTTAATATATGAGCATTTATTTTACTCCAGTATATTCAATGGAGCTTCTGCGTTAGCCTGCCGATTCTGACGGGCGCGTGCGAGTGAACAGCTTTTTGTCTCGTTTTACGCTTGAGCAACCAAATAAATGCTGAAGTTTATTTAACTGAATGTATTTTAATGACATTACAACATCGATGCTGTATAAGGAACCGTATAAAATGGAAAAAAGTTCACAATAACAGGTCACCGGAAGTGGATCAGCATGGGAACAGCACTAGCTCGGCATATACCCTATTAAAATCATTGTTAGAAAATTGACGATTATAATACAATTAGGGGCCTCACAGCAAGAAGTTCGCTGGTTTGAGCCTCTGCTGGGTCAGCTGGCATTTCAGTGTGGAGTTTGCATGTTCTCCCGCTGTTGGCGTGGGTTTCCTTCGGGTGCTCCGGTTTACAAGTCCAAAGACATGCGCTATAGGTGTATTAGTAGTCCGTAGTGTATGTGTGTGAATGTGTGTATGGGTCCCTAGTAGCAAAGAATTCTGGCCCAGATTTGGCATAAATCTGGGACAGCAGGCATTCATCCGGCACTGGCATACAGCATGTGGGCCAACCATGGCCTGGGTTTGGCAGAGGTGGCACCGTCTATAATGCAGCACACAAGATTTGGGCCAGATGTAAAACGTAGTATTTGGCCCAGATTTTAAAAATTGATTGTGGGCCACGTGAGTTTGGCCCGTCTTGACCCACATTTAAAATACATAAAAATAATTTTGATTAAATAAATCAATTCTACCAATCAGGTCACTGAGAAAAAAACAAGGCCCATAGTGTGCCTAAAGCGCAACGCTTCATAGGTTTATTAATTTCATTGCAATCGTGACACACCAACCTATCTGGCCCAGTTCAGGCCCAGTTATGAGTTATTCACTTGGCTGAGACTTGGCCCAGATATGGTCCGTGTTTGGCCCTTGTCTGGAAGCCAGATTTGGTCCAGTCATGTACCGTAATTCACTGCGGCATGTGGGCCAAGCAAAACCTGATTGTGTGGGCCAGAGCTGGGCCAGAGAAATTTTGCTATGTGGGGTGTTTCCTAGGGAGAGGTTGCAGCTGGAGAGGGCATCCGCTGCGTAAAACATAATGGGTTAAAAACATAACGTCATAAAGTAGTAAATACAAATGGCATCTTATTTAAAGCTTTTTGATTAAGAAACATGCAGCAACTGAAGCGTGCAAAAGATCCCCACAAGTTGCCATTTCTGCTCTTTGAAATAATAACCCAACCCATTACTCATAACTGAGGGAATCCCAACAAATCATGCAGGCAAACTGTCTTGGTTCATGGTTTCTGCTTTAGTTTCAGCTGTAATATACCATTTCAATATTGAAAAGACCTATAAATCCAAAAATGGAAGTCACAACTAAGCCAGTGTTTAGTTACTCGCTTAGTTCTCTGCTTACTTCCTTACTATACCGTCTTTCTATTTCAGTATTCTGCTTATTTTGTAATATGACAAGTTATGTTGCCATGTAGATTTACATAATTATACATCACATCCGTCCGCTGAACTTCCTCAATTCTCTCATGCTATTCATGTGCACCGCAGACATGCTTCTTCAGTCGACCTGCCCTCACTTTTCCTCCTGAAACTACTGTAAGTATCGCTCTGTACTCACCATTTACTGTGTTAATGATGCTTTGAAAATGACACAGTGGTTTTAGATATGATAGTATTAACCTGCAGTCTGCTTTATAATGATCTCGGATACAAATCTTCTGCGGAATACTTTAAATATAGTGAAAGTGGAACTAGGATTAATATTAAATGACGAAAGTGTGCATGTCATACCGTGGTTTGGTTATTTGCTGTTGTGAACACAGTAGAGTGTTGATCAGTACAATATTGGATTTCACATGTCCTGCATATGCCTGCTGCAGTTTATATCCTTAAAAGGATGGAGAAGAATGGAGGAAAAGCGTGTCAGCGGCGTCATGAGTGAGGATCTATCTATCTATCTATCTATCTATCTATCTATCTATCTATCTATCTATCTATCTATCTATCTATCTATCTATCCATCCATCCATCCATCCATCCATCCATCCATCCATCCATCCATCCATCCATCCATCCATCCATCCATCCATCCATCCATCCATCCATCCATCCATCCATCCATCCATCTATCTATCTATCCATCTATCTATCTGTCCGTCCGTCTGTCCGTCTACCTGTCTATCTGTCCATCCATCTATCTATCTATCTATCTATCTATCTATCTATCTATCTATCTATCTATCTATCTATCTATCTATCTGTCTGTCTGTCTGTCTGTCTGTCTGTCTGTCTGTCTGTCTGTCTGTCTGTCTGTCTGTCTGTCCGTCCGTCCGTCCGTCCGTCCGTCCGTCCGTCTACCTGTCTATCTGTCCGTCTATCTATCTATCTATCTATCTATCTATCTATCTATCTATCTATCTATCTATCTATCTATCCTTCTGTCCATCCATCCATCCTTCTGTCTGGCCGTCCGTCCGTCTGTCCATCCATCCATCTTTCCGTCCGTATATCCATCCATCCATCTATCCATCCATCCGTCCGTCCGTCCGTTCATCCATCCAACCATCCATCCATCTTATCTATCTATCTATCTATCTATCTATCTATCTATCTATCTATCTATCTATCTATCTATCTATCTATCTATCTATCTATCTATCTATCTATCTATCTATCTATCTATCCTTCTGTCCATCCATCCATCTTTCCGTCCGTCTATCCATCCATCTATCCATCCATCCGTCCGTCCGTCCGTCCATCCATCCATCCATATATCCGTCTGTCTATCCGTCCATCCACCCTTCCATCTGTCCGTCCATCCATCCATCCGCTGTCCGTCCGTCCGTCCGTCCGTCCGTCCGTCCGTCCGTCCGTCCGTCCGTCCGTCCGTCTGTCCGTCCGTCTGTCTGTCTATCTATCTATCTATCTATCTATCTATCTATCTATCTATCTATCTATCTATCTATCTATCTATCTATCTATCTATCTATCCGTTCATCTGTCTGTCTGTCTATTTTTATTTATTATTATGTAATGTATTTGTGCATTTTATATATTTGTGTATTTTTAATTGTTTATTATTTAACACAATGTAACTATTTTAAGTTAAAGCACGTGAATGTTGTCTACTGAATTCATGAATCTGTGAATTACATAGAGGTTGAACCGTTTAACTTGAACATATTGAACTTCTTTACGTCAGGCTGGTTTCGTGAGCGTTTTGGCAGACAAAGGAACGGACAGGAACAAATCAACCCATATGAAAACCCTCCTCCTCCTTCTCACCCATCAGATCTCTCCATCTCCACCTCCATCTGCTCCTCTTCCTCCTCTCATCAGCATCTGCCCTCATTTCTCTCCTCATCCCTCCGCTCAGCTCTCAAATACGACCTCTATCTGTGCCACTCCGAGAAGGACATGGAGCAGGCGCAGAGTTTGGCCACTTTCCTGGAGCAGCCGGGTAAAAGTCTGCGCTGTTTCCTGCAGGAGCGCGACTGTGCGCTGGGCGGCGCTGTTTCCACTGAACTGCTGCAGGCGCTGCGGGATAGTCACTGCTGGCTGCTGCTCATAACTCCACACTTTCTGAAGGATGATTGGTGTTTGTATCAGATGCACCAGGTCCTGTCTGAGGGCCCGATGTCTCAGAGGATTATCCCCTCCGTGCTGGACATGCCCAGGTCTGAGCTGCCGCTGGAACTGCGCTTCCTCTTCACTGTGGATCTCAATGTAAACAGAGAGTTCGGCTTTAAACAGGTGTACAGTACTGTACTTCACTGTAAGTAGAGCATCTAGTGTTTAATCTATCTATCTATCTATCTATCTATCTATCTATCTATCTATCTATCTATCTATCTATCTATCTATCTATCTATCTATCTATCTATCTATCTATCTATCTATCTATCTATCTATCCTTCTGTCCATCCACCCATCCATCCATCTTTCCGTCCGTCTATCCATCCATCTATCCATCCATCCGTCCGTCCGTCCGTCCATCCAACCATCCATCCATATATCAGTCTGTCTATCCGTCCATCCACCCTTCCATCTGTCCGTCCATCCATCCGTCCGTCCGTCCGTCCGTCTGTCTGTCTGTCTGTCTATTTATCTATCTATCTATCTATCTATCTATCTATCTATCTATCTATCTATCTATCTATCTATCTATCTATCTATCTATCTATCTATCTATCTATCTATCTATCTATCTATCTAGTCTGTCCATCCATCCATACGTTCATCCGTTTATCCGTCCATCGATCCGTCCATCTATCTCTCTATCCCTCAGTCTGTCTGTCTTTTTTCCATCTATGTGACCATCTTTCTATCCATCTATATTATTAATCTTTCTTTCCATCCATCCATCCATCCATGCATCCATCCATCCATTCATCCATCTTTCATGCAGACTGTAAGATATACATGTAATGTCTATCTATCTATCTATCTATTTATCCTTCTGTCCATCCACCCATCCATCCATCTTTCCGTCCGTCTATCCATCCATCTATCCATCCATCCGTCCGTCCGTCCATCCATCCATCCATATATCCGTCTGTCTATCCGTCCATCCACCCTTCCATCTGTCCGTCCGTCCATCCATCCATCCGTCCGTCCGTCCGTCCGTCCGTCATATAGTGTCTTAATATTCTGAACGCTGATTGGTTGATGTAGCATTTGCATCTGAACACACACAATATAACACTAATGTGTTATAATGTGTAATATAACAAAAGTGATATTCTGCATATTGCCCACTCTGCTTTTTTTTCTTGTTTTCCAAATTGTGCAAGTATTCTGAAGTCATGCAATACGAAAGTTGTGGTCATAACATGATTTATATGATTTTATTTATTTATTTATTTTTGCATGGTGTAAGGTCTCATCATGCTTTAACAACCTCAAATTCTACTCAAATTCATAAGTTTATGCATAGTTTATTTAGCCTCTGTTTCTGTTCTCTTATACATTGTGTGGAAACTGTTCTCCTATTAAAGATAGAGCCTCGTTTCTGTAAACCAGACGGGAATGTTTACATATCGACCTTTCCCACACTTGGAGATGTTTTGCCATGTCTGGAAGCAGAATATCAATTCTCAACAACATGTTTCTTTTTCTGACAGATTTGAAGGACGTGTGTGAGAAGGAGACGTCCAGCAGTGTGTCTCAGACGGACAGACGAGAGGAGAGTCAGCTATAAACATCATTGTGTTCACTGCAATGACTTTATTCTTCACTTCCAGGAAGTGACATGCAGACAAGGCAACAGTGTTGTATATGTATCATATGTCCATCCAGTGTTCTACTAATCTCTAAATAAAAAGAGGACCACAGTCTCAATGGGTTCATTTAAAAATGCTGGGTTGTTGTACCCCAATATGGGTCAAACAATAGATAAACACAACTGTTGGGTTAAAAAGTGTAACTTAAATTAACTTAAATCTCTAAATAAACAGATGACTACAGTCACAATCGGTTCATCTAAGGGGTAAAAATATCATGTTGTGCACTCTAATAAATGCTGAATTCTCATAACCCAACATTGGGTCAAAATATAGACAAACACAACTGTTGGGTTAAAAGTGTAACTTAAATGAACTAAAATCTCTAAACAAAACAGATGATTACAGTCTCAACAGGTTCGTCTAAGGGTTAAACAGATCATGTTGCATATTCAAAAAGATTCTGGGTTGTCGTAACACAACATTGGGTCAAAATATAGACAAACACAACTGTTGGGTTAAAAAGTGTAACTTAAATCTCTAAATAAACATGACTACAGTCTCAATGGGTTAATCTAAGGGTTAAACAGATCATATTGCATATTCTAAAAAATTCTGGGTTATTGTAACCCAACATTGGGTGAAACTATAGACAAACACAACTGTTGGGTTAAAAAGTGTAACTTAAACTAACTTAAAACTCTAAATAAACAGATGAATACAGTCACAATGGGTTCATCTAAGGGTTAAACAGATCATGTTGTATGTAGTAAACAATGCTGGGATGTTGTAACCTAACGTTGGGTCAAAATACAGACAACAGAACTGAAAGGGTTAAAAAGTGTAACATAAATGAACTTAACTCTCTGAATATAAAGATGACTACCGACTCTAGGTTTCATCTAAGGGTTAAACTGATCATCTTGTACACTGTAAAAAATGCTGGGTTGTAACCAAACATTGGTTAAAATATAGACAAACACAACTGTTGGGTTAAAAAGTGTCATTTAAATTAACATTAATCTCTACATAAAAAAAGATGTTTACAGTCTCAATGGGTTTATCTAAGGGTTAAACAGATCATACTGTGCAATCTAAAACAATGCTGGGTTGTTGTAACCCAACATTGGGTCAAAATATAGATTAAACAGCTGTTGGGTTAAAAAGTGTCACCTAAATTCACTTAAATCTTTAAATACAAAGATGACTACAGGGTTCATCTAGGGGTTAAACAGATCATGTTATACACTATAAAAATTATGGGTTGTCTTAACACAACATTGGGTCAAAATGTTGGCAAACACAACTGTTCGGTTAAAAAAAGTGTCACTTAAATGAACATAAATCTCTAAAATAAAAGGTAATTACAGTTCCATTGGGTTCATCTAAGGGTTAAACAGACCATGTTGTATATTCTAGAAAATGCT